GCGTTTTCGCGATTTTTGAGCAAATTATTGGACGAAATTCTTAGAAAAGTCATAGCACACCATTCGACGTAATTCCGCATGTATTTTTCTAGGTCTCGAGTATGTGCGACGAAATCTGTGGGAGGAGTAGCGGGACGAAAAAATGACGGAAGAAGAACGAAGAATAATATCCCTRAATTCCTCGAGGAATAATAATATAAGTGCCAATGCATTGCATGGGGCGGAGCCCCCAGCTGGCAAGGCACCCATAATAAGCCCAAGCAATAATAATATAGGTGCCAATGCATCACCGTATATATCACTATATATAGCCTCATATATGGGTGACTAAAGTTCATCCACCTTTTTAATAACGGCGTGAGAGAGCTGCCCGAAAATATATTTGACCCTACTTTGTTTTGGGGTTTTTTACCCCTACAGTCACATATGTAGAAGACAAAGATTTCAAGAGAGTTTGTGGTGATAAGAGCCATCAGTGGTGTCTTTAGAGAATTTTTGACCATCCTCACACATTACTGTATATGCCACTTGATATTATGTAGACAGTGTATTTTATATCTGTACAGAAGAATAGTACAGAAATTCAGAATGCAGTAACCACATAACTGTAATATGCACTGTACAAACAACATGCCCTAATTTACCAAACTCTGGGAAATCATTTAATACATGATCACATTTAGGCTTATTATTCAAGTAGCTTATGTTAATTTACAGTTAATGGGTTGTTGGGGTCCTGTGAGTCAAGGTGTATATGGCTGTTGATGCCTTAAACGTAACGACTCAACACAGGTACTGCAATAATATACTTGACACCTCCATTAGTCAGTTAGAATTGAAGGAGGGATGGAGGGATGAAATGTCTTCAAGAAACACAAGCAAGCCCAGTTGCCTATATGTGCACTTGTCCACTGAGGATACCATGACCTGAATGACTGAAAAACTTCACAGATTCCCTCATCCATTCACCAAAATGTATTAACTCAAATAGTCCATCTAATTTTTGATCCTAAACAAAAACTACCATAATCAGAGAGAATAGGATATAATTCAGGGAAATGAAAAAAAAAAAAAGCTTTATACTTATTGAGCCAGATGACAGCGTTCAGGTCCAGGTGGTTTGTGGGTTCATCCAGCATCAGCAGTGTGGGTTCCATGAACAGAGCTCTGTGGGCACAGAAGGATAAGAGTGAGTGAAATATCTTCTGACAGGTTATAAATTGGTTCTGTCTCATCCATAAAGTTTGTCATAGTGTACCTGGCAAGGGAGACTCTCATTCTCCAACCTCCAGAGAACCTCTTGGTGGGTCTGTTTTGCATCTCAGGGGTAAAGGACAGACCAGCCAGAATCCTTCTGGCTTTGGCCTCAGCTGCTGCAGCTCCAATCACCCTCAGCTCTTCATAGACCTGATGAGAAGGAGAAACAGAAGCAGTTACATGATTACAGAGTAATATGAGACAGAGTAATCAAGTGTATCCAGATTATCATATTTTAAGAAGTCAAACCTAAGTGAGTACACTTGAAATGTCACTAATAATCATTGATTGGACAGGAAACTTAGGCAATTATAGAAAGTAAAGTGCAGTAAAGAACAATGAAGTCAGTGAGTAAACCAGACATGGGCCTGGATGGGACCAGCCTGCCCACATAGCCAATTTTGATCAAAATAAACTTTGTTACAAAAATATATATGAGTAAGGAAATAAATAATCATGAACTTGATTAGTTGACTTTTCATCCAATGTAGCGTCATCGCCACAGCAATAGATTAGCAAAAAAAATCTTGTGTTCTTTTAAAAAAAAACAAGAGTTCAGGAAGAACACACACCACTCCCTCCTTTAAGTGTTTTGAGAGGATATTCATGTCTCACATTAAGAAGGACATCCCAGACACAATAGACACCCTTCAATTTGCATATCGTCAGAACCGTTGAACTGACGATGCCGTCAATGCAGCCATCCACACAGCCCTGTCACACCTGGAACACAGGGACATCTATGATCGAATGCTTTTTGTGGAATACAGTTCAGCCTTCAACACTGTCAACCCCAGCAGACTGACTGAGAAGCTCTCCACCCTTGGACTGACATCCTCCCTCTGCTGCTGGGTCCTGAACTTTCTCACAAACAGACCCCAGGCTGTCAGAGTCGGTACCAGAACATCCAGCACCAAGACAGTGAGCACAGGGACCCCCCAAGGCTGTGTACTCAGTCCACTCCTGTACACCCTCTTCACCTACAACTGCTCCCCCTCCCAGAGCAACACCTCCATCATCAAGTTCACTGACACCACCGTCATTGGGCTGATCACCGGCAGAGAACAGAGCCTACAGGGAGGAGGTGGCTCGGCTGGTCTCCTGGTGCTGGGAAAATAATCTCTTCCTGAATGCTGAGAAGACCAAGGAGATGATTATCGACCCGAGGAAGAGGAGGAGAGACCCGCACGCCCCGCTGCACATCAACGGGACACAGATGGAGAGGGTGAAAACATTTAAATTCCTTGTTACTCACATCTGTGAGGATCTCACATGGACACACAACACACAGCAGACCATCAAGAAGGCTCAACAGAGACTCTTCTTCCTGAGGAAGCTGAGGAAATTTGGACTGTCCACCAAACTCCTCAGCAACTTCTACAGATGCACAGTGGAGAGCGTGCTGACAAATTCCATCACTGTGTGGTACGGGAACTGCACAAACCAGGACAGAAAGGCTCTCCAGCGTGTCATTAAATCGGCACAGTTCATCTTTGGAGCTGCCCTCCCCCACTACAGGACAATTACAACACCCGGGTCACAAAAAGGGCACAGAGCATCATCAGGGACCACACTAACCCACAACACAGACTATTCACACTCCTGCCATCTCCCAGACACTACAGGAGTGTGAAAGCAAGGACTACCAGACTGACAAACAGTTTTTATCCCCAGGCCATAAGGCTTTTGAACCACGGACTATGACCACCATCTACCTCTATATTTGCAATTTTGCACAAGACATTGCACATT